AAGCGTATGTGCCCTATACAATGATTATGGTGGCTTTTACATCCTCCTAGACGAGCCTGAAATCAACTATTCAATGCCTAAGGGAGGGAAGGCCTTATTGGCCTGGCTGGATATTGATCCAGGATTCGATCCCCTAATCCTGCAAGTACCACTTGCCCCTACATTACCTCCGCTCCGTGGGGATATGCAGTAAAAAGATACTTTGTGACTCGCGAGCCCACATTTTTGTAGAACCCGTCCATGAGCATCTACATAAGTGGGGATAGCGAGTCACAGCGAATATCTCCCATATGTGCTCATCAGTAAGGGAATGGAAGTGATCCATTTACATTTAGGATCAAGAAAGCTATATATTTGAATTTGCCTATACTTATGTTAAGTTATGGCCATCAGAGAGGACTGGAAGACATTTTCGTGTCAATCTTCCCTTGATTCCTTGTCTGTTGGTACATGGGAAGAAGCCACTTTACTGGTCGACGCAATGTTATGGATGCCCCGGTATGTTAGATGCCCCTTACGCTTTCTGCCCGTCGATTCTGACTTTATGGTAAGGTTGCGCTATGGCGAGGAGTGTCCATCAATGGGCACCAACCCAACCGTGAAACAAATTCTGAGGCAAAAAATTCTATTGCGATGTCTTTCCAAGAAAAATTCTGCCTTCGAAACCACCCGATTCCATGCCGTTTTCCTCTTACAACCAGAAATCAATTTCCCCAAAAAGTTCCATTGAATGGGAGGGATCAGTGAAGCTTGGGGCAAAGAGAGTCCTCGGCGGGTGAACGAATTCCCCTGTGCACAACCAGAAATCAATTTCCCCAAAAAGTTCCATTGAATGGGAGGGATCAGTGAAGCTTGGGGCAAAGAGAGTCCTCGGCGGGTGAACGAATTCCCCTGTGCAATGGTGTGACGACCGTAATCCAAACAAATTATTGCACCCTTCTCTCGTTCTGACTCCTTTTCGGGAACAATATGGGCGATTTGTCATGTCTATTCAGGAGGAATGATTTCGTACTTAGAACTGGAATTTTTGGTAAACGACAGAGACTAAGCGTGACAGAAAAAGGAAAGCAGCAAAGAACTATGAGGACAGTGTTGACTGACTACTCTTTTTCGTGGTAGCTCTCTAGAGGAGTTCGGTCGCCATCGATGGCCTTCAGTTCTAAGCTGTAGGCTACACTGTAGTGCAGTGGATAAACGCCTGATCCGGGATGGATAGGCGCACGTTCGGATCCCCTATGGGAATTCATACCCTTGCTCATGCTTCCCAGATCCTATACTTTGGAGTTAAAATGATTTACCCATTATTGCCAACCTGACAAATTAAATCATTTCAAGAAATTTCTAGAGCTGAGCAGCTGCATACAACCAGGAGTGATCTTTTCAACTCTCCCATGGGAGCTTTCTGACTTCACATGCAAAAAAGTTCATCCTAAGGCATCCGAAATCGATTCCACCAGTAATAAGTACTTGATAGACTGCCAGAGAACATTTGAACGTCTTGGAACAGCTAGAAGATTTGCATGAACTGGACGGAGAACGAGCCGGGACTCGATCCTAGTACCGAAGGTCTGGCACTTTGATGATGTCCCTTTCCCTCTTGGGAACATACTCGAGAATATAAAGAAGAGACATAACATAAAGAACATAAAAAGAGAATATTAGATGGATAGATAGAGAACTTTCAAGAGGACGACTCATTTGAAGCTCTCGTGGGATTCTTTATGTTTTAGAGGTCGGCCGTTTTCAGCGAAAGACCACAACCTTTAGAGCGGTCTAGTCTCCCAATGCGATTTTTTCAATTTTTCTCAATGGCAATATTTACAGGCAGAAGGCAGCAAAGCCTTCAGCGACGTTCGATAGTCAAAAAAGGAAAACCGTGACGAGTTGGTTTGCGTGGGTGATTTTACCGATTGTATGGATTTCCTTGTGAATCCATCAGTTTCCCAAGAACTCACGAGACTTGCCCGTCCATAGAAAAGTTATGTGAGCGAAATTCGCACATTACATATTAAAATTGCTATCGATTTTTCATAGAACCGCTTGATGGATGAGTGAAAAATTTCGCCCAAAAAAAGTATGAACGAATGAGTCACTGGAGCGTGCAATGGAACAAAATGATGGCAACTCAGGGCTCCATGATGCAGTTCCCTTGAAAAAGATATAAATAGTACATAATAATAAAAATTAATATTGAGGTTGAAGGCCGAAGAGCTTCCTATAAAAGCGATTATTTAAAAAGGCCAATAGCTCCTAATATCTGACGGGGAATGGGCCACAAAAGCTCCCGCAATTCTGACTAGGGCGCCCAGTGACATAGGCGATTCACTTACTTATCAGGCCAGTACGAGTAATTGCAGAAATCGTCCGAGTTACATCCACAGATCTTCACAAGAGCACCACTTTTGGACGTCTTCTCACGGCAGAAGCCGTCTTTTTGTAGTTTGTTGTGACAAGTGTAATGGATGCCCAGCGTCGGATGATCCAACATCAGACAAGCTGAAAAATAAAAATCAAAATTAAAATGAAATTAAAACTGAAAAAATAAAGGGTATAAATGAAATCGCTTTGCTTCAAGGGGGCTCTCAGAAATGTAGAAATCTTTGATATTCGATTATGTACAGCAGAAACCTCATTCTTTAACCGCGATTGCTGCGATTCTTGGCTAGTTGTGTAATCATTTGTCCGGCCTTGGGACTCCCCACGCTTTACCGACATCCCCCAATCGAGTCCTACATCCAAGAAGTCACTCCTAGGGTTTCAAAGATGCTGGAATCCTCTAGGGTGAACCTAGGGAAGAGGTCGATGCGAACGACGAGAAGCCCGTGCGGACCTGAAATTGAATCGGGCTAGCTAATCGGGCTCGAAATGAAGAGGAGCTCGATTTGGAAGGGGTTCTAGTGTGAAGACAGAAAGAAACATATTTTGGATGGTAAATAATCAACTGGAAATAGATATTAATGATTCAAATTTGATCATGAGCACTGTTCCGGAGAGCCCGAAGTTTTCACTCTGAGGAAGCTCCTTCTCTCCGGTCGTAGGACTTGGAATGGGAGGTAAAAAACAGAAATTACTGTAATTATCCATCCCTAAAAGGCAATTGAAAAATCAGATCCTGCCTCCAGTTGATGTATGACCATAAATGATGTCAGATATATCCATTAGGGTCGGGAAGGGATTAAAGATTCTTTGGGAGAGAGAAATCCCACAGATGACATATAACCAGACTTAACAACGGATTGCATAGCCTTTTTGATGGCAGTTTCCGAGAGATTAAATGCACTCAAAATGATTGCCTCGAGAATATATGGAGCTTATCGAAATGGCATTGCCAACTTTGAACCGAAAAAAGACGTCTATCATAAGAAAATCAAAGATTATTGGCGATTGGTACCCATATATGGCTGAAAGCGCTACCAAATACACTTAAAAGGCTTAGAGACAGGCCTAAACACTCGTTTTCTGGTGCTGTTTTGCTCACACCTGAAATTTCACCAGGATTCCAACTTTCTTGGGGTGAGCAAAAATGGAAGAGGGTGAGGAGTTTTAGTTCTTTACCTTAAAGTTCTAACGTAGAGGTTAGCACTTACGCAGTGCATGTACTCACAGATGAGCCCCATGCCTAACTAAATTCCCATGAATGGGGTGCCGGATATTTCCCGCTCAGAAACCTCCCACTTCCAAAAGCTACTGGAAAAAATTTTCTCTTTGCAAAACAGCAACAGGAGGGAGTAAGCAAGTACCCAGTGGATCTTACGTTCCATTTAGGTGTTCCTTTGGTCTTAACCTTGCCTGTCCAATTAGTTTCCACCCCTTAGCAGGTGTCCAATGTGCTTTTGCTTTTTTCAAGAGGATCATACCGTCATGATTCAGTTAATCCGAGAAAAAAGCATTATATCATCCGAAATCGTTGATGCCAGATTATGGGCAAAGCTGCAAATGCACGAGGAAGTCCGCTGCTCGTCTGTTAGTCAATGAACAAACCAAAGCTGTTGGGAACCTCGGTGAAGTAGCATTTGCTGCCACTATACATGAAAATGCATCTGTATGGACGGAAACATTCGATGAACTAGCAATAAATTTGTTTTTCTTCCATCGCTATCTTACATCAGCCAACATCTCTATCGATTAGCCGGACCACAAGACAGGCTTCAATCAAATTGATGTGTCAAAAGTGTTCAAATTTGCCACTACATT